TATATATATATATCTATATATCTATATATAGATATATAGATATATATATACACATACATACATACATACACATACACATAAGTATGTTTTCTTCATTTTCAATCGTCGATTTTAATCGACTAAATCGATTAACTGTTGCAGCTCTACTGCAGATATGCAGAAAACATACTTAGGAAAATACATATTTACTACACTGTATTTTCAGAGGTCCAGTTGACCTCTGAAAATTTTTCAAAACCCAACTCCACATTTTTGTAAAAGATAAAAAAAAAATACATTGCCCAGTATGTATATAAAATAAAGACAATTGGCTACAATAACAACGTTCTCTCCAGAGCTGTCCTCTGCAGGCACTCCACTTTGTCCACTTTCCTGCCACTACTCTTCCTGGATGAATGACACCCACCATAAATCAACCTGTTTCCTGAGAGCCCTGGTTGTCATGGTCACACCCCTTGGGGTGCATCAGCCTGCTGGCTTGGGCTCAAAGTACAGTTGCACCGAATGGTGCACACATATCACTACATAAGTGTCATACTATGCAGCAGTAAGGACCACCCGCTGCTGACACTGGACAAAAGGAAGGAAGCTGGAAGACATCTGGTTTTAAACTATGTATCCTGTATATTTTCATTGTATGGGGAAAGGGCACGGGTGGTAAAACCTCAAGTTGAGCCTATGACGAGCTAATGGCAGCTGATCCCACACTAGGTTGAGATCCTCACACTAGACGTGACCGCCCAATAGAACTTCCAAGATAGACCCCATATCCACCACTCTCTCAGTGCGTGAATGTCCCCCCTCTCACTTTGATGATTAGCATTACTTCAAGTATGTTGCTTTCCCGCATCGTTTCATCTTCAGATGTTTATTACCTCTGTTCACTTGATCCCCCCACATTATCCAGCAAACACGCAACCGCCCATGTCATTTATCGTGACATGCTTTGAACTTATGCATCCCCGGTATATGCCAACATTGATTGTGACGTAGAAATCTGTGTCGAATGTTATGTTAGTTCCTTTCCTGAAAACTACTTATGTATAATGCGTGCTATATGAAGCTGTAAGACTAAAACTTTTCTTTACCGATTTATAACGTACATTTTGTGGTGCAATTAGCCTCAGTGCGTGAACGTCCCCCCTCTCACTTTGATGATTAGCATTACTTCAAGTATGTTGCTTTCTCGCCTCGTTTCATCTTCAGATGTTTATTACCTCTGTTCACTTGATCCCCCCACATTATCCAGCAAACACGCAACCGCCCATGTCATTTATCGTGACATGCTTTGAACTTATGCATCCCCGGTATATGCCAACATTGATTGTGACGTAGAAATCTGTGTCGAATGTTATGTTAGTTCCTTTCCTGAAAACTACTTATGTATAATGCGTGCTATATGAAGCTGTAAGACTAAAACTTTTCTTTACCGATTTATAACGTACATTTTGTGGTGCAATTAGCCTTTCTGTACATGTTACTTCTGTATTCTTTATGCTCTCAATAAACGCTTTAAGCGTTGAATCAATGCTAATGCTTATTTCAATATCAAAAATAACACATACAAAACAATTCCTTAAAATTGGTAAATTAAAACGACATGTATATTGAAAATCTTTTCACCTGTTGATATAAACTGAGAGCGACTGGGTGGTTCTGCAATGTCATGAAGAAATCTCCACGGTTGAATTCATGTTTCATGTAGGACACCACAGTGTATACTGAAAAGAGTAAAATAATTTGTTAGCGCAAAGTACATGTGTGTCTGTGACTTGCAATACTTCACACTATTTTAATACCATTCTCCCCTGGCAACAGACACTGATGAAAATGCATGGAATAAAGAATGTACATATTGTATATGTGAAAAGCATAATTTGTAGTGTCCAATAACATATACGCTGCATTAGATTCTGCACATGCAGAGTTCATGCCATCCAGTTAGCCTGTCTATGAGGTTACATTTGTATAACAAAATAATTTTTTTGTTAGGAAAACCTTTTTTGGGATATATGTGGTGGATCAGTTGTAGCACATGTAAAGTGCCAGTATCTTCTTTCAATGGTGTTCTTACATTTTGATTATTTTAAAAATATAGTACATTTTCTAATATAATTATTGAGAGTACACTGGAGGTGCTAACAACGAATAGAGATCTCACATGCAGGCACCTCAAAATGGCCATTGTGCTGTAGTCTACCTTTCCAGTCTTAATATGAAGGGGAATGGACATAGCGAATTGTAAAATTCATTCATGTAGTCATACCCCTGGCATTTCAAAAGATATTCAATCTTTATTTTTTAAAGCAGTACAAAACTGCAATAACCTGTGTGTTTTTTATATGTCTGGAGATACACTGACATCTCATCTCTACCATCATCTTTATAAGTGCTTGTTATTACTTTGTCACAACTGCTGTTAATGAACTCTTTAAGACTGCACTAAATTTCTTTGATCCTAAAATATGGAATTAAACGGCTCCATTCCCACAGGGTATTCTAAGATTCCTGCGGCAAGAACTTACACATTCTTGCAGCAGGAATTCCAAGTGCCCCATTCAGATGTGAATATTGTGCCCACTTAAGTAAATGACAGGATGACAGCAGCCAAATCTGTCAGTGGAAGCCTCCATGTAATCGTACATGACTGTTGCTGGATGCATCCAGTGACAATCGTCTATCCTGAACCGCATGTTATCGTATCATGTATGTTTACATGTGGACTGTTGCTGACAGATGTGGCCCCTGCCACCTTGTCATTTACTTCAACGGGGACACCGGGATTTCTGCTGCAGGAATCCATGGGTTCTTGCCACAGGAATGCCAGATTGCCCCATGTGAATGGAGCCTTAATGTTGGAAAATATAGAATGCAGTATGTTCAGTAGTCAGAACACTATTATGTTATTTTCACTTACCAAGATCAGTGTCTCCACTTTCAATAGCTTTGCCAAGTGCAAGATTGCTTCTTTTCATTTTTAGAAGTAATGGCACCTGATCCTCCGACTTTGGTTCATATTCTAACAGCTGAAATGATATATTAACCACGATTAACAAATATTTTTATTTCATCAATCAAGAAAATTCCCAGTTACATATGGTGTGATTAACCTGGACCCCCTGTTGTATAGGCTGACACGTAGAATAGGTGACAGGCTGTTTTTTTACCTTTGCGTTATGACAACGCACTGTATCACATGGTATCGCACTGCCATTCATTTTGACTGGTGTCCCAACAGAAGACCTGCAATTGCACTATAGCGCACCACAACACACAGCACATAAGAGTGCTTTGTGCTGTCAAACTATTAAGCGCTCGCAGAAAGAAACTGTGAGTCCTAAACTTATCTATACATAATATAACATGGGCATACTGGAAGCTATTTTGTTCTTTTAATTCTGTAGAATAAACGTGAATTTAAGTTCATGATTTGGAAACAAAAGAGTTCAACATTAAAAATTCTCAGACTTTTGGGGGTCTAGTTATACCAGACAACAACAAGATAAAAGACTGACAATGGTTCCAGGCTGTAAGATAAATGAAGATGCCATGTCTTAGGCTTAACAAAGGACAAAACTATTCACCATTATATTTATTTTTCTTCTTTTCAAGACATGAATATAGAGTTCACATTGAAAGTTACCTATTACATTGTATTTCTACTTGATAGGATTGGTATAACTAATAATGTTCATTCTATTATTAATATTGCATGAGATTTACAAATATTTGTAATTAAGTAAATTCAGCAAAATTGTTTTCATAATGCAATATTCCATATGTATATCCCATTTTACTAATTGACATATACTAGTAAACTATACTAGTACAGTGATATTATAAACATTTGTACTGTATATAAAACTATATTAAATACAATATACAGTGTGGAAAATAATGATTTGATCCCCTGCAGATTCTGTAACTTTGCCCGCTTACAAAGAAATTAAAGGTCTATAATCTTTATCATAGGTGTACTTTAAATGATATGAATGATAGAATATCAACCGCCAAGGCAACAAAGCAGTGACTCAAGAAGAAGCACATTAAGGTCATGGAGTGGCCTAGCTAGTCTCCAGACCCTAATCCTATAGAAAATTTATGGAGGGAGCTGAAACCACGAGTTGCCAAGCGACAGCCAAGAAACCTTAGGCCCGGTTCACACCTGGGCGTTTTGTAGCGCGTTCCTATGCTTTGCAAAACGCTCAAACACCAAAATCCTATTATTTACTATGGGTATGGTTCGCACCTGGGCGTATTACAGGCCGTATGAACGCGCTACAAAACGTCCTACCGCCAAAGAAGTACAGGAGCTTCTTTGGGGCATTTTTGTTGCGCGTTTCCATTGGGATACAGCCAAGTAGCCCTCGAAAACGTGCGTTTGTCACGCGTTTTTTTACCGTGAATCGCGCGACAAATGCACATATTTGATACGCCTAGGTGTGAACCCAGCCTAAGGATTTAGAGAAGATCTGTAAAGAAGAGTGGACCAAAATCCCTCCTGAGATGTGTGCAAACCTGGTAACCAACTACAAGAAACGTCTTACCTCTGTGCTTGCCAACAAGGGTTTCTCCACCAAGTACTAAGTCATGTTTTGCTTGGGGATCAAATACTTATTTTACTCATTGAACTGCAACTCAATTTATAACATTTGTATCATGTGTTTTATACACCTATGATAAAAAAATATAGACCTTTTATTTCTTTGTAAGTGGGCAAACTTACAAAATATGCAGGAGATCAAATCATTATTTGCCACACTGTATATTGTATTAATATAATATTATATACATTACACATTTTTATAATATCATATTATAACGTCTGTAATAAGTATGAAGCGTTTAACCACACTTTTAGCACACATTAACTCAACCTCAATGCATGTAAAAAGATTTTTTTCTTTTTCTTTCTCTCCTCAAACTTTATATACACTTTTGTCTTAAAGAGATAATGCTTTTCTTAAATGTCTGGAAATAGACAAGTAGTTGACCATCTCCTAAATTGATGCTTCTAGACTGAGGTCAAGAGGTCACTTAATAACATGGTGCAGAGGTTTTAAAGAAAAATCCCAAATTATTCATTGACCAATACTTTAGGCAATTGTGGGTATACTTGGGAGTAAAGGGAGATGAGTAGTGAGGTCATAGTTCAGATAAGATAGAATCTTCCCCCCAAAAAACATTTTGGGTGATAAAAGCCTAGAAAAATTCGGGAGAGAGGACTCAACGACAGAAGGAGAACTGAACAGGGGGAACGAAAGGACATAACTAGAAGAGAACCTGAACATCTGACAAAGAGTTTCTGTCCTTAAATTTACCAAGGAACATCACTGAGACCAAAGAATTTCCAGATTAGTGGTAAAGTATAGATTTAGATCTATCCGTAAGCAATTTATGTGAGCAATATATATCTAACAATCATTTAACCTGACCATTTGGTTTTATAGTGTTAGCATTATATTTTATGTGCATCAAAATGAATGGGCTGCCCTAATGCAGTGCGCATCAACGCACAAAAACGTGTGTTAAGGCACATAAAGGAAACTACACTGCAGTTTTAAAACTTTTAGGCCTTGTTCACACCAAGCGTGGAGCAGGTGCAGAGCAGAGCAGTTGCAGACCGGATCAAAACTGCGTCCAATGTATTCCAATGGTATTCTTTGCTCCAGTTCACATGGCAGCGTGCAGGTCCAGAGCAGGTGAAAAAACTACAGCAAGCCCTATTTTACCTGCTCTGGAATGCAAATGCCTGGAACGCACTGAAAGCCCATGTTGAACTAAAAAAAAAAAAAAAATTTTAACCAAAAACGGCCCGGAATGCATCAAAAACGCGGCACAACCCACTGCACTGCGTGTGCAGAAACATGAGTGGATCTGCTCTACATTTGGTGTGAACAAGGCCTTATGGACATGTACAGTATATAGTGTATAAATACTGAAAACAACTTCTCAAATAGGAAAATATCTCAAAACAAAATGTCACCAAATTGTCAAAAAAAAGAGAAAATGTTGTTTTTCCAATTACCATTGACTTTTTTTTCCTTCTGGGACTTCAGCTACGAAACATTACACAAGCAAATGCCTATTAAAAGGTACTGATATGCCTGACTTATAAACGTCTGATATGTACAATAGTGTTATGTTCAGTTCAGTGAAATCCCTTTGTGATGCTATTATAGTGGTTCTCCTGAAACTAGGCATAGAGAGAACAATAAAGATCATATCAACTTGCACACATTGTCTCTCCACTTGGTGGCAATACCCATACCTTCCTGCTATCACAGAAGCCATTCTGCTGAACATCATATTAGCTGAACCCTAAGGCTGGGTTCACACCTAGGCCTATCGAATATGCGCGTTTGTCGCGCGTTTCCGAGGGCTACCTGGCTGTATCCCAATGGATATGCGCGGCAAATACGCCCCAAAGAAGCTCCTGTACTTCTTTGGGCGTAGGGCGTTTTATAGTGCGTTCCTACACGCTGTAAAACGCCCAGGTGGGAACCATGCACATAGGCAATCATTGGTTTTCACATGTTGAGCGTTTTACAGAGCCTAGGAACGCGCTGTAAAACGCACAGGTGTGAACCAGGCCTAATGCCCACACAGGCAGCTATTCTTGGAGCGCCTTGGGAAATCCTGTCCTCTTTTTTTCACATTAAAGACAATGCCACTGGCTCTAGACCATGTGATGCAACCCTAAAAATGTAATAACATAACAATTTAAAGAACAGTTCGGAACAGAAAAAATAGCTACAGCTACCCTTTGAAGACTCACTGATAATGAGGACATGCTGACTGGAGCCCACAGGCCAGCCAGCTCTTTGTCAGATGCAGCAATAATTGCTTGTTTTTGGTATTTTCTTTTGAGAAAAACAAGTTTAAGGACAGAAGATGCGTAAATCTTTGTCTCAACACAGTGCATGAATACTGTAAATCAGGGCTCAAAATTTCCACTCGCCCCCTCGCAATTGGCGAGTGCAAATTACGTGGGGGCGAGTGGAAATTCAGGGGGGAACTGCTGCCGCTTCTGCAGCGCCGATGGCCGCTTCAGCAGTGGCGATCGCCGTGTGAGTTCTCTCTCCTCGGTCACTGCCGCTACAGAGCGGCCGAGGAAAAGAATCCGTCTGTCCTCCTCCCCCTGCCACCGCCCCTTCACTTACTTCTCTCCTCGCTGCTCCGTCCTCTGCCCGGCCGCCGAGCCTGTCTCCTCACCAGCAGCGGATGCAGGCAGCAGAGTGGTAGGGTTAACAGTAACCCTGCCGCTCTGTGATAACCAGTGAGACGGGAGAGCCATCTTACCCCCCTCACCTGTCACAGAAGTTCTAGCACATTGCTGTGCTAGAACTCCTGTATTGATGGGGACAGGTTCAATAAAGAGAACATGTCACCTCCAAATGCTATAACACAGAGATTGTTAGCTCCGCTGTGATAGCAATAGTGAGAGAGTTAAGTGAGAAAAAAATTGTTAAAAAAATAATTAAAAATAAATAAAAATTTTAAAAATAAAAAAAATATTAATTTGATTGGCAGGCTCCTTCCCTACAGTGACCCGGGCTCCACTGCATAGAAGGAGGACAGGAGCCTGCCAATCAGCTTGTTACTATTCCCTGGGTCATATTTGGCAGGCGTACAGGGACAATGAGGGCATGCTGGAACTTGTAGTTCAATTACGACATGTCCCAGCATGCGCTCATTGTACCTGTACACCCCCACATATCACAGGGGGGGGGCAAAAGTTTGTCCTGCCCCGGGCACCGTTTACTCTGGTTACGCCACTGGGTCTCTGTGCTGTGCAGCGCACCGCAGGTCTCTGTGCTGTGCAGCACACCGCAGGTCTCTGTGCTGTGCAGCACACCGCAGGTCTCTGTGCTGTGCAGCACACCGCAGGTCTCTGTGCTGTGCAGCACACCGCAGGTCTCTGTGCTGTGCAGCACACCGCAGGTCTCTGTGCTGTGCAGCACACCGCAGGTCTCTGTGCTGTGCAGCACACCGCAGGTCTCTGTGCTGTGCAGCACACCGCAGGTCTCTGTGCTGTGCAGCACACCGCAGGTCTCTGTGCTGTGCAGCACACCGCAGGTCTCTGTGCTGTGCAGCACACCGCAGGTCTCTGTGCTGTGCAGCACACCGCAGGTCTCTGTGCTGTGCAGCACACCGCAGGTCTCTGTACTCAGCGTTGTTACTATCTCTGTATTCTGCGTCACACCGCTGACCTGACGGAGTTAAGGCCGGGGCAGGGTAGGGGTTAGTGGGACAATTTGTGGCGAGTAACTATTAAGGCCTGGCTAGTAACTTTGGACTTGAAATTTGGAGCCCTCCTGTAGATGACTGCTCATCATGTATGTAACAGTAAATTTGGCAAATTAAGAGGTGGATCTATATAAAAATATATTTTCCCTTCAATCTTATTTCTCAGAAAAAAATTGCATAATTCTTCCAATAATACAAATATATTATAACTAGGGATGCACCAATAGCAGTATCGGTGCCGACACTGGGCATTTTTACGAGTGCGCACACTTGTGAAAATGCCCTGATACTAAATGCCGATACCAACCTTTTAATTGATTCGGCTACTCTAAGGTCCCGCTTGCTGGGGACCTCGCGGCACCGATATACAGCGCCGGCCAGCATATCTTCCCATCTTGAGACTGACACAGCAATGACTCCGGGACCGACAGTGGCACCATGAACCCTCCTCAGAGGAAGGTAAAATGGGTGTCATGCAGACCCTTTTTTCAAGTCAGTATACCTAGAAAAAGTAAAAATAGAAAACAGAACACAAAACCTAGACTACATGTAAAATTAATAAATTACTATTTGTCCGAATATACGAAAAATGTATTCAGGTGCATAATAATTTGTTTGAACGTGCGGCGGCCATGTTGGCCACTGGCGTGTTCTGTGAATGCGTGCCACCATCTTGGAGGCGGGGAGCATGACGCCATGCATGCGTGGCGTCAGATGACGTCACACGCCCATATAGGCGCCGCCATCTTGGTGCATATCTAGATATACACCATGATGGCGGCGCCCAACACATGCGGTGTTATATGACGTCATGCGCCCTGCCTCCAGAACACGCCAATGGCTGAATCCAATATAGCATAAAAATTTGTTTTGCTTGATGAAACGAATGAACGTTTTTATTTTTTCGCTCACCTCTCGATCCTGTCACGGCTCTCTGCCGTGACAGGGGAGGGGCTGGATTCCCCTCTCCCCGCTCCGATCCTCCAGCGCTTACTGGCGGAATGGACGGGGGAGGGGGTGGGTACAGCTGGCTCTGCCTCTAGGTAGGCAGAGCCAGCTGTCAGTCACGCAGCTGGGCGGATCCAGACATAACTGTTGGGATCCGCTTCAGCTGCAGCGTCTTACTATACCGCGAGCAGCAGCTCGCGGTATACTGTGGCATCTCAGTATCGCGGTATACAGAGCCTAGGGTGACGGGAGGATGCTAGTTTGTGTCCTCCCGTTACCCTAAGGAGAACTATGGGGAAAGCCTTAACCCCATAGTTCTCCTTTAAGGGCACCTTTGGCCACATCTCTTCAAACTTTTTCATATACTCTACATTGACCAAGTTACTTTCCCTTAAAATACTCTCTATTTAGACGATGATCTATACTTACTTTAATAGCCAATTCTGTTCTGCCACAGTCACATGCCTTTGAAGCAATCTCCGAATATGAAATGCCTGCAGCGTCGCCAAGCTTTTGATTTATGGCCTGAGCTACTTCTTCATCTGTTTTCTCTTTCTGCTGAACCTAAAAAGTAACAAATGTTTTACAAACAATGTGCTTCAGACAGAACCACAAAGAAAAAAAAATAGATAAAGTTTTACCTTGTAACATGCCCAGTGTGCCAGAATTCGACTCACTCCTTGAGAGTCAGGCTGTTTTAAGTATTCACAAATTTTTACAGCAAGAGGATAGAGTCTTCTTAAAACTAACCTGTCAAAAACATATGACAGGATGCATGAAGCTAGATAGGATTTTTTAATCAGTTTACTTTAGGGAGGAAACCACAAAACAAGACAATATAAGGTAATTTATAAAGTGCTAACATATTATGCAGGGTAGAGTTTTCTAGAATGAACATCTGGCAGTACTAGAGTATTATACTATAAAATATGCTAAAATAATTATTTGCTGGACTACTAGTGTGACATTAGTCCACACTAAGGTGTGGCCTGTACGCAGTTATATTAAGATATGTTACTGTTCACTAGCCATTTTATTCTGCAGTGCAATTGTACAGCGATGTTGTCACCCTGTGGACAAGGTAGTTAGATGGACATGGCCTCTCACAGGAAGTAGAAAATAAACAAACCTAATGGCAGAATTATCAGGTAAAAAATAACTATATTTTAATAAATTCTCCCTGTTAAGCTAAATTTAAGTGTATCAAGAAACAGAATACCTATCAAGCAGTACTGGGATTGTGAGTTGCTTGTATCTGCAAAAAATGTTAAGGATAATCCGATATCCTGGGTAAAACTGCAAGCACAATGTAAATGAGTAGATAAACTGTTAACATATCAAAATTGCAGCCTTATTCCGACATTCAATATATACATACATACAAGCTATATATATT